CTAGTAATTTCCTTGCTCTTACTTAAAATTTTAGTTATTTTGCTTTGCACATCAGTTGGGGAAAGGATATCAGCTGAAAAGCATAACTTGAGAAACTTGTGAAATAAGATAACGTAAAGCGGATGGGGCCAGTTCTTGAGGTTCCTAGGGTCAGAAGGTTCTTGCCAATAACTAATAAATGTGTGTTTGATCTTGCCCTAACGTATCCATGCAAGTCAAAGGGCAGCAGTATGGGGCCTGCAGGCACCAGCATGCTCATCTTCCTTCCAAAATATGCTTATAGCTCAAGCAAGTTAACATGATTTTAAAAATAAAAATAGCTGAAATATGATACAATGTGCTTGTTTTCCCAGGAAATGTCAGTATTCTAGCATGGGGTCTTCACAAAGCACAAATGCCTTGTGACCTTCCAAGATTTGATGATCTTGCAGACCTGGAGCAGTGAGCCCAGCCTGTCATGCTAGATTATGCATGGCATCCAGGGCCTGAAATACTTATTGAGCCATACCTTAACTCAACAGGATATAACTGTCCCAATTCCCAATGCTCCAGCTGAGATTTGAGGTGTTTCTCCACTTTCAAAATGCCTTTTTTGCGCCTTCTGCGAATGTGTGTCTGTGTGTGCTTGGTTTGTTCTGTAACATAACTTAACCATAGGCTTTTTGACTGATCATCACAATGCTTAGCTGTGATGATCAAAATCCATGTAATAATACTTTTTTCTGGTGTTTATAAGGGATGCTGAAGATATCCTAACAATAAGGCATGAAGGTGAATGTACAGAAGTCGTTCATGAAACGGTAAGATGATGCCAGGACTAGGAATGTGATCCTAAGCATGTATGCTTGGAATCTAGAAGTAAATACTTACTGAGTCAGATAGGATTTATTTCCAAGAAAACATGCAACAGATTGCAGTAGAGGTGAATATGTGTACAGTAGCTCAGGGTTGAACTGTGGAGTCCTTGGGGTTCCCTGAGCTTGATTCCTTTCCTGCAAATGTTTCATTACCCAGCTAGGTAACATCTTCAGTGCTAAAATGGGATGGGGTTTGCTCTCTGTTTATGTGCTGTGGCCTGCCTTGCCAGTGCTGGTGTGGGTGGGGGTTTTGTTTTGCTCCTCTGATAGTTCTTCGATTAGCATATGTTTGCTGCTTGATTGTGTGCCTGGTGGTAATCTTTGCTTATTTGGGTGATGATTGCTGGTGAGGCGATCTTCTGGTCTTTTGTCTCTTTTGAATAGTATGTGGATACCTACATACTACCAGAGGAGCAAAACAAAACCCCCACCCTCACCAGCACTGGCAAGGCAGGCCACAGCACATAAACAGAGAGCAAACCCCATCCCATTTTAGCACTGAAGATGTTACCTAGCCAGGTAATGAAACGTTTGCAAGAAAACAACCAAGCTCAGAGAACCCCAAGGACTCCACAGATTGCAATGTTAAGTATGTAGGTTTGTCATCAAGACGTTA